CGTTTTGGCGCCACGTTTGCTGTTTTGGCGCCAAATAGTAACATCCGGGTCTCAGCCGTAGTACTTCATTCATAGTAAACCGCGAGACTTAGCGAGAAATTGCGCGTTCTGAAGCCGTACTGTGAGGTGGTAGCTGAGTATTTAAGACGAGTCGTCTTTTATTATTTAATGGAACTTAAAAACGGTATTAGGTAGCTTCATTTTCTGAACGGTTTTGGATAGGATATACCTTGGTCATTATGGGGAAATTGGTGAGTTTTCCAGGAAAATTCATTTTCGTGCTATTTTAAGGGTTTAACGCGCTGAGACTGTCTTTAAGATTAATATATTTATATCATAAAAGGCAAAAAAGTGGTTTCTACATGCATCATATACAATTACCTCTCCCCATTGTGAGAGCCCGTTACTTTGCGGTGGCTGGTAACTAGCATGGTCTACTGGCCAGTCCGACCGGAAGTTGTCCGACCTGAAATCGTCAGTATAGCAACATGAATAAATACCACAATTAAGGAATCGAGAAAAACCCAACATATTTAAACAATCAAGAAGTCGGGAAAAGCCCAAAATATACAAATTCCTTTATCCCCCATTGCACAATCGGTTGTCCTCGTTTCTTGTTTCATATTATTAAGATTATCCTTGTGCTTTCGTCAAGTAATAAAAATATTGATCCACTAGTGATATTTTTTTTCAATCATTAAACAGTTCTTATCTTAATTACTTCCTTACCAAGGGGTGTGACAGTTATGTGTTAACGTCATGTAGCGGACACCAAGACTATAAAACATTCTCAGTATTCCCAGGCTGCTGTCGATCATGTGACCACCTTCTAGACCAATCAGACTGCCTATTTTACCAGCATTGAACGCATTCATAATTCCTGAAAATGTTAACGAAATATGCAAAATACCCACTCAGTGTTCTGTTTCATTAGGTGGTTTACAAAGGGTGATTCACTGGAAACAGGACGGTAGCACATGGTGTCTCAGTAAACAAAGCAGCTGAATTTCAGGTTTTTTCTTCTCATTTTGGAGGGGGTTTTATAGACAGCTGTAATCAGACAGCACGAAGAGCGAATGGTGGGTGCACAGCAGGATCATAAAGGGGGATTTGCAGTCAAGCGCTTACTGGTATTTTGAATTCCCACTACTTACCATCAGCAGATGTCACGAACTGAAACGTGTCAGGATATTGGTTGACGAATCTCATAATGACGTCCAACTGTTCTAGAGCGTACCTTACAGCGTCTTTATACTGGGACGAGCATTGGCCATAACACGCCCAAAACTGAAAGAAACCGAACGTTAATACTGACAGAACAAAGATTGTGCTAAGGATGGACAAGGACTAAAACACTCGAACACTGAGCGAGGGAAATATAAAATATTAGACGAGGACACTCTTATTACATGGTCAGGCACTGGAGTGGAAAATCTGCTACGTTTTATTGTACTTGTGCAAAAATGTAATATGCTTCTTGCACAGATTTTGGGGATGGAAAGGGGGAATGAGTGCCCATACATGGGCCGTTGATTAAACGTTGAAGCGAAAAATGTCGCGTCTAGGTTTTTTTTCTCCAAGCAAGGAAGCCATAGGATCCGTTTTACAATGAATGTTGTCGAGCTAGGTAATGCACATTAGGTCCACGGTATTCTCGCTGAATGCAATCAGATTAACACATAACCTTGCATCCTTTTGTTCCCAACGTACTCGTATTATCACCAGTTTTTCTATATTTTATTTAACGCCAGAAGTAGGCGTCTTAGTTTATCTTATTGCATTCTGCGAAAGTCCACGAGGAGTTGGTGCGCATTAGTATACGTCGATACAATTCTGTGTGAGCTCGAGCCAATACTTTCATCCTTTATTTGACTCCCTCAGCAAACCACTTAATTGAGTCGCTTTTGAATGACTTCTCACTACTACGTTGTCAGCAGTTACAGATAAAAACTTTTAACTACTTCTGAAAATTAACGTAAGGTTTACCCAATTTGACGTGAGTGGTTGTCAAAGGACCCGTGAGTGCAAACAATAATTCAACAATCAACGTCAAACAACTTACCTGAGCCCCAACTTTCCCAGACCGGAGACGCGGGATGTCTGTTTGTGGAATTGCAAAGGTGGTTTCAGTTAATCTCTGTCCAAGATTCACACTTTCCACTTGGTTGTCCACGAAAACCCTGTACTTGATAGGGAGATCATTGTGGCTATGAGAAGAAAAAAAAAGTCATCACCATGCAGTGAAAGGTGCCCTTTCCTTACATGCAGTATGTACATCACAGTAGTTTTCACTGTACATACCGTACCATGAAGTACTTGGCATATGCCCCATGTGTATGCGCCTTCTTATTTATATCCATATAATTGACAGACTTTGTCGTAAAGAAACCTGTTTTGTTAAACCACTAATGAATAGTTTGTGAACCGTCATAAGTTGATAGAATTGTGGGTTTGTTTCTAGTGTTATAATAGACAGAGGAACAACACACAGGCGGTAAACAACGGCAGGAACAGTACAACTTTACAGACATGAATATATTTTAATACAAGAAAGAAAAAGGCAACAATTTCATATATCATATTCTTTGTGTCTCTACCATCTCTGTTTAGCCATCTTGGCGTGGTTCACGTAGTACATGTACACAAGTCGATATTTGGACTTCTGATTTCGTCCATCAGAAACTTACGATCAATAAAGTGGAATCCTGTTTATTCGTTTTATATACATCCCTTTAATTACAAGTAGCTAAGCAATGTTCAAGTTTCTTTTTAATCAACGTGCACGCCCACAAGTAAAGAGGGAAATGGGACAGTCTGGTGTGCGTATTGGAGAGAGAGAGAGAGAGAGAGAGAGAGAGAGAGCGATGGGGGGGAAGAGATAGACAGAGATAATCATCACCCGTCGATCAGCGGCGTTTCAGTCAACACCTTATTCGCAAGTTCCACGGACGCCGCATCAGTTGACCTGGCGTTCATCCTCAGCGCCACGGGAACAGCGACCGCCACACCCACCAGTACTACCAGGATTGCTACGATCACAACTACCGCAATGGTTTTCTTTCTCCCCGCTTCACCAGAAAAGATCAGATTTGTTGTGCTCTGTGAGGAATGTCCCTGCGCCATACTGAGGTATAAATAATAATAATAATTATAATGTGGTATGTATCGATATAATTTCCACCCCCTTTGTTTTGCTTGTTAGGATAAAAACTATGTCGAAAAATGCCACACATTTTCATGACATTTTCAAAAAAAAGTAATATCTCCTAGATGTGTATGTTAAAATGCATTTGTTTCTGTTGACCTTTCTTAGCAATTGACCTTTCCTTGTCGGTGGTCTGCGCTATAGTAGTACTCACTGATTTAATCATACTGTTGTGTTTCTTTTTTTAACTGTTCGAAACACAATCGGTATGTAAAGTAAAACCAAATGCTGCCACCATCAGTCTTTATTTCTTCTTACGACTGAAATTTCTTGTGTAATTTCAATGTAAACTAAGGCTGTAAATCTCTAACTGCATAACGCTAAAACTAACTGTAAAACAACCCTCTTCTATCCCGTTCCTCTATACTTCTCTACACTCCTCAACTCTCTTCCCTGACTATTTGGCTCCTCTCTCTCTCTCTCTCTCTCTCTCTCTCTCTCTTATATATATATATATATATATATATATATATATNTATATATATATATATATATATATATGCGACAGAAGCTTAAGCGCATACAGCCCGCCCTGTTCTCCATTGGCAGAAATTTGGATACCACTCAAATCTCCGCGGGGCAGAAATCTGGACACAGTCCAAACCTGCGCCCAGCAGAAATCTGGCTGAGCCAAATGTGTGTCCAGCAAAAAAACAAATCTGCGTCTCTGGCCTAGCTACAGTAGCACGTGCTACCGGCGCGTCAACCCCATGTCAAAAACAATTACAGTCACTGAGATTGAGAACGCAACAATAATTTATGTAGAAATTCCACGTTCTCTTAAGATAACCTACAAAGTCCTTCAACATTTGGAAGTTGATTTAGTGGCTATAGTAATATAGACAATAATGACTACGAGCATGGCATCTGCAACCAGTCGATCGCTTGACCGTCTCAGTTTAACGTATTAGTGTTACTATTAATCTGAAACTGTAGCCCAAGAGCCCATGAGTACGCCCGCCTGTGTTATGTAAATGCCGAAATATTAAAGCAGACACATTTAATTGTGCAATAAGAGTGTTTTAATCGAGCTAATGAATATGAGTGACTAGACGAAAGGATCTTTGACGGTTACCAATACCTGTAACCAACATTAACTATCCCCCCAAAAATGTATTACAATGGAAATGAGATAAAAAAATTATACAGTGTATTTCCCACTCTGCGTTCTACATATTGTGGTGAATTAACCTCGTCTACCATTTCCCATTCTCGGCACTATGCCCCACTCCCCCACACACACACACACACTCCCCTCTCCACAAAGTTAAAGTTAACCCTTGCTGGATCTGCCAGTGCTTGCCGTACAAATCACCAAAGTCACACGAAAAATCCTAATGTTGTTATTCCGTCTACACCAGTATTTTAGGATTTTATGTCTTTACATAAGAACCGGTATTTAAATCTGACCTGACTTAAGAGTAACAACAAAACACCCGCCAGGTGCTGTGGCAGATACAACACACCTTTCACAATAGTATAATAGGAGAGGGAGTGTGATTGTTAATATGATTCCTTGACCTAAAACGAATGAAAAATGCACATCCCCCTCCCTCTCTCTCTCTCTCTCTCACACACACTCATTCGCGCAGGCGTGTGCACGTGTGTATTCTTAAAACACACACACCCACACACACACCAGTACATTTATATACCGGTACAGTGTACATGAGCACCAAAATTGCACATTTTCATAAAGGATGTATATTAATATTCAACTGCATTCTTGGTCTCTGAATTAGTAATTCTGTGTAGCATTCTATGTTGAATGTTCTATTTGTATCTCTATGTTCAAAATATTCAACTTGTGAGATTGAATAAAAACTTGAAACTTGGCTGTGCAGTATCTGAACTGTTAAATATTTCTATTCTGTTTTTCGGAACGACAACGCCCTTGGTGATCCGGGTATTAAAAAACATCAAGCATCCTTTACGTACCTTGCAGTTTACCTCCCTCCTTTCAATAAGCCAAATGCCACAGCCACCCGTGCGTCTATGCTTAACAGTGAAGTCTTTGTTAAAAAAGTGCCCTTCAATCGGTTATGTACAGGTAAAACATTTATAATACAAGTAGAGATCTGCAAGGGGGGAACATGAATAAGTAAATATTTTACGAAATGTGGTCGCTTGGTAAATACAATGTGTTTGTCCTCGCGCGACTTTGCATAAAGGGTTTATCTTTCTCTCCCCCCAAACGAGACTACCGCGCAGTGTAACATTTCAGGTAGCAGGGAGAGGGGTTAGGGCTGAAGTTGCCCTAAGACGTTTTCAAAAAAAAAAAAAAGAAATCTTTTGAGGTTGTTCATACTGTGAAATGTTGGTCTTTTCCTCTCTCTCTCTCTCTCTCTCTCTCTCTCTCAGTTCATTAAAAATACCTTACTTTTTCTTCATTTAGGGTCCAGATAAGTGCCAGTGACGACACAAATAACCAGACTGCCAGTTTTGTACCCCCTCCCCTCCCCCGTGCGCAAGCATTCTTCCCGTCCTACCCCCTGAATATGTTGATCATTGTGTATTCTTGGTTCCATTATGTTTGTAGAGCTAATCAATGGCAGATTGTGTGCGAAGCATACTAAAAAGCGAGTTTATTCACCTCTGCCCTCGTCGCAAAACTATTTTAACATCCAGGTGGGATAATATCTTGATTTCACCAAATGGGTTTTTTTACTTGTCATTAACGATCGCTCATCTTTTTGATATATAAGATAAAAAAATACCTCGAGGCGTTTTATAAAAAATGTTTTAAAATTAAATGAGACAGTTATTGGCCCCATTCAGAATAGGGGACTGGCTAGTCCGAGAGTCAAATTGGCGACCCACTACAAAGCTTGTCGTCTAATCCGCTAACATACACTGAATAGATATCCTGGCTTCCAATCTTACTAGCCCAGCCCCAGCAATAGACGGAGACGGCCAAACATGTCGGCGCTATGGTCTGCCCGGGGCATATTGAATAAAGCAGACAGCTGTCATTCTTCATGTGTACAATTATATAAAAGTAGGTCGATCTGTTCATTCTGCTGGTTCGAAAGAAACACCCGTACATTCGGGCTGGTGTATATAGTCATCCAGAAATTACTTTAAAACTTTTATAAATTTTCCTGTCTTTTAACTCTGCCTTCCCCTCAAACTTTGACTTACAACTCAAACTATGGATGCACATTGTGTATACCAGTGTCACGCTCTGTTTCTGCTTAAAGCTATATGGATATATATTCAGTGATCTCAGTAAATTATTATTATTTTCTCTACAACTTAAATTGGAGATTAACTGACTCTTTATATTTTAAATCGAAGTACTTGACATACATGTAGTCACCATACGACCTTAACAGTAACAGAAATGAATTGATTATAATATCAGATCATTTTTTATTTCAATATCACTGTAAAAGATGCAGTAGAGCCACTCAATTGTAGGTTGTTTTTCTTATAAATGATGTCCCGTAAAACATTAACCAGTAAACAAGTTCTGTACATCGCTCCCTCCCACAAATGGCTTTTTCACTGCAACGTGAGCAACAAAAATACACGTTTCGGCAAAACGATAAAAATCTGCTAAACCTCAAATATCGCTCTCCCTTCTCCCCAAATAACAGGACAAATAACAACCATGCGTATCTTGAAATAACGGCTATAAGGTCTGTACATGTACATTTTTTTAGTATTACATAGTAGCTTTTCAGTATTATTGTAGAAGTTGCAGTAGAACCATTAACTGTAATGAGGGTAATTTTTTCTTACAAGCGATGCCCCAAGTAGACCAATTAAACATAAATAAATAAAATACATTGTAACCCTCTTAAACTTTTTATTACAACATAGCGTTACCAATGAAAATACACGTTTCGACAAAACACCAAAGTTTAAAAAATTAACATTCATAAATATATAGAATTACTGGCTATAAGGTCCACACCAACATTAACTTGAATAAATGCCCTCAAATAGTGTCGCTTAAGTAGATGACCTTAAAATCATTAACGCGTGACCAGGCCATGAAACATAGATCCCTATATAGCAGGTCACATCGCTTTTGTGTATGTATGTGGGAATGTATATGTACACGGCATATAGTGGCCGCAGACAGCTAGATCGAGAACGATGTCTGCCGAAAAAATGTGGGGAAATCGTCCTTTCTGGGGAATAGGGAACGACTACGACCCTCTCTGGGACTTGACGGAAGAGCAAAGGGAGATTCAGAAGAAGCTGATAGGGCTGTGTCGCACTACCTTGCGTCCAAATGCTGTAAGTGTTGATGTGTGAAATTTACGCCATGTCAATATGAAAGTTTGTGGGTTAAAATGGATGAAGGCGTTTTCTCAAGACAATTTCCACTACCAGGTAGGTACATTGGCTCGCGTGCACAGGCACACACACACACACACACACACACACGCACAGAGAGAGAGAGAGAGAGAGAGAGAGAGAGAGAGAGAGAATAGGAATATTATCCCTTCATTACTTTGTAATTAAGATCAGAAGAAACTTAAGAAAAACGTGTATACGTAAATGTCGAGACAACTTAATTTAACGGATATAACACCATGCTTATATTCAGGTTCGCCCAGAAAAATGTAGAAGGTAGTGCTGCAGACCAAAGGCAGCAACAAGCAGTATATAGCCAAACTGAGATGTCTAAATAGAGCGTCCAGGGTCCTATTTACTGACCATTGAAGTAGGTCAAGGGGCTCAGTTTTAGTCAAGGGGTTCAGTTTTAGTCAAGGGGTTCAGCTTAAGGCGTGTTTCACAAATAATCTTTTCAAATAATCTACGGCTATTCTGATGCGTGTGTGTGTGTGCGTGTGTGTGCGTGCTCTTTTTCGTCCACACCAGTTAAACAACATTTAAACTATTGCAAATCAAGTTTTTTTTATGTTCCATATAGGCCTCTCGAGCTGTGGTCCTTCGTCCAATTTTGCAACTCATTCGATCTAGTCCAGCACACGCTGGCATTCTTCCAAAATCTATATAACTACATGTATAACGAATATATTTACTGAAGCCGGGAAATACAGTGGTTCAAATAATTAATCAGTCGCATTTCAAATAATGATGTTAACAACATCGTAGTTACTTTTTTCCAATGCTGCTTTTATTCCAAAAGTGATATTTTTTATTTCTCTCCCTTGGGCCTTTTGATTGTTAAGGACTTTAATTCCTTCATCTTTTTAATTTTCCAACCAACGATTTTATTATTTATCGATCAATTAACAAAATCAATTAACAAAATATATGTTAATGGTTATTAATTTTTTGGGGGCGTAGGGGGCATTCCCAAAGTTAAAAGAACATGTATTTTACATGCATAGTAGTGTAAAGGCCAAGTCATGCATACTTTGTTGTTGCTTTTACAGGATATTTAACGAACAAAAGTAAAACATTCGAAAATGAATAAGCATTAAATAATATGGCATGATGTCCTCTTATTAGATAATATCTGATGAGAAGTATACATTTCCAAGAGCCAACATGGACGCCCTGGCCTCGCTAGGCCTTCTGGGATTGATCATACCGAAGGAACTTGGCGGGCTGGGTGAAAACCACGTGTGTGCTGCTATGGTAACGGAAACAATCGCCCGATACGGATGTCCCAGTACGGCAATGGTGTATTGTGAGTACTTGTGGTTATACCATGTTTCAGCCATGTTTTTGATAAACTAGGAAAAGACTTTATATCACCGTTATGGTTGTATGTTCACGTGTCACATAATGATATGTAGATAATATATAAACGTTGAGTCCCAAATCCAAACAATGTTCAGTACACTGCGCAACATAAAAATAAAAAAGTGAATAGATGAAAAAAGCTAAGGGTGTGTGTGTTTGTGGTTTTATTTCCTTTTTAAAATATGCCTGTTCTGCTATTTTCCTCAGGGACCCGTAAAATAAATAACAAGCAGAGTCTTTATTTTCTTTAATTTCATTATTGAGTTTGAACTTAATACTAATTTCCATCAGGAAAACTAGGAGCAAATTTATTTAACATGCTGAGCAAATTTTAAACTACCGGTAGCATAAAGATTAACAAAAGGTACTTTCTTTGATTTGTTTTTACTGTAGGTATGCACGTGGGTTCTTTAGCTGCTGTCCTGTTGAGACATCACAACAACGATGCAGTGAAGGACGTTCTTCGTCGTGTGAATCGTGATAAACTAATTGGAACTCTGTCATACAGCGATCCAGCCACAGGTAAAGTCAGGACTGGGTTACTACTCATGCTATTGAGTCGTGCATGGTCTTCTCATTTAAAATACATATTCCCTTGTACAGCGATATATTACATTTAGCTTTGACAGTGCTCATAAATTGACATTCAGATGTGAAAAGCATATTTTTGTAATTTGAACGGATTGTGTTAACGAAAAACATTTGATTGTTTATGATTTGGTTCTGACGATTCCTTATTCCCACCATTGCCCTTTCTTGCTTCCCATGTTCTAAACGGCATGTCCTTATTGAAAAACGACCCAAAGGAACTAGAAGAAGTGACTCACACCGTTATATTCCAAAATTACAAAATATAATGCATTCCAATGTCGAAAGAAGTGTATGGGCCAACATACCTTTCAGGTGGCCATTTTTGGTTTCCTCTCTCCTCCAAAAACCACCAAGAGGCAGACGGTCAATTCCGTCTCCTGAAGTATGCTTCCTGGACGACCAGTGCCGGTTTTGCTGACTTCTACGTCATACAGACAATCAGCCCTGATTTTGGTGGAGACTATTCCAACTTGTCTGTGTTCTTAGTTTTCCCGGTAAGTGGGTTGATATATATTGCATAAGTTATTCAGTGTGCTTTACTGTGTATATTGGTGACCGATGAGGTAAAATTCAGCGATTCCCAGGATTTTTTTCAACGTAACCCCTTCTGTAACCCAAATTGTATGTCTTTATGTGTCACAAAGGATTGAGCACGTGTTTGCAGAATCACCATATGACTATGTATATTCTCATTTCTTTCTAATGATTTGTCCAGGATGAGATCCGTGCCCATACTGACGATTGGAAAGCACTTGGTCTCCATGGTAACCAGTCAGGTGTGCTGATAACAGAGGGCGTTCTGAAGCAAGACCGTCTTATTGGACCATTAGGTGCAGTATATCAAATAAGTGTCACAAGCTATATATAGAGTCAAACACTTGTTACAGGTTTGTTTATCAGTCTGCATAATGTAGCGTCACTGAACAATAACAATCCTGTACATTTCAATATACAAAATATCTATTTGTTTTGAAATTTAGAAATTATGGAAAGAAACCTGGAGTTAATATAATTTACAAGAACTTAAACTTAGCCAGGATTATTTCTCTCAGGTGATGGTGCTGATTCCAACGACGAGACTGTGGACCCTTACTTCCTGTTGCTGTCGTCATCCTGTTGGTGCGGGATTGCTATGGGCTGCATTGACGTAGCCAAAAAACACGTGGTGGACAAACGTCACGCTGACACCGGATTACGTATTTGTGACTATCCGACCATTCAGGTAACGTAGATACCCTGTAGAAGAAAAACGTTCAATATCATTTCAAAGTCTTTACATAAGATGGTTATCTGTACTGCTGAAGTACTATAGTAGTAACAGCTCTAAACGGATTAAGACGGATTTCTAAGTTCAAATATGGTGATAGAAGGAGCATTGGTACACTTATTAGTAGTGTTACGATGATGAAATTTTAATTAAAAAGTAAAGGTTGCTTAAAGTATATACCAGTAGTTCGACCTTGCATTTATGAAATTAGTCCATGAAATATTGGTTCAAGCCATTTATTTTAATTCGGTTATTGAAATGACAAATTTCGGCTTTATGTAACAACCGTTTGTTAACGTTTATGGGGTCTGATCTACCTAATTTATAAACCATCTGTATCATCTTAGGATTACTTCGGCGAGAGCATAGCGTCTACGAACGCCTGTCGTTCTATGGTGTTCCACGTGGCACGAGGTTACGACAACGTCACCAATAACAATGACTGGAGTATGCATAAAGATCTGACACTGAAACCAAGGTATGACATTGCAGTGTAGATGAGTTCGGTATTGGATATGTTGCTTACGTATTTGGTTACATGGTAGTTCTTTCGACTTTTAAATAAATAGCTATTCGTAGGTTCTTTGGGTTATCTAATACTCGTTGATGGCAACTATAAACTAGTAAACTAGTAAATTTTTCAAATAAAAATGTGAGTTTGGTTTGCCTTTTGGTTTTAACCTAATTAGTAATGATACTTTTTTAATAATGTCTTTTGTATTTTTAAACTAATGTCAACTATTCGTATAGTAAATTAATACGTGAGCGTAAATTCTCACTAAATCACTAGTAACGTTTCTCATACGACTCAAAGTAAATCCACATACCAAAGAATAAACGGAATTAACCATCGCGTCAGCCACAAACAGGCTTTAAACCATACCTTCACGTCAAACCGGCCTATTTATGTATCCCCCAGTCCGTTTAAGCCCACCATATGATATATGTTATAATGACGTATCGCTGCTGCGCTTGCAATTGCACAACTATTCAAATGAGGGTTAAGGAATACGACCAGGTTATATATAGCAAAGAAATATAGCAGACAAAATCTGCTCAAATGAACCATTTCGAGAGATGAGAAAAGATACCCTTAATATTTCTTCAAATCATATATTTAAAACTACCAGTATATATGTATCAGTGCCAATGATTTGACATATCATCTCTCTTCAGATAAAGTTATAATTGCAGAAAAAGGGTACTTTAATTTGACCGTGGCCATATGCAACACTCAGAACGTATTTAACTACCTATACACAAAAGGGCAAGCTTACGTCACCTGCTGAAAGTAAAAAGTTTCCATTTGATCCGAGTCCTACCAACGAAGCTTCTCTGGCCCCGTGGTAACTCCGCCGACAGGGATATGAGTAGACACCTATACGCGCGGGTTCGAATCCTAAGATATTCAACGTGATCTTTTTGGCTCAAAATAATTTCTTAAAATTCGTTTGAATACTATAAGAGGTAACTCGCACATAAGTAGTGTGGTAGGGTCAGTCACGGCGCAGTCAGTAGTGTGCTTCGTTGCAAAGTATACCATGCCGTCAGCAAACCATGGTAACGCAAAGTCACGAGTTCAAATCCCAGGTGACGCATGTCAGCTTTACCACAACAACGAGCTGGTCCCACAATCGGAAACGAATGCAGGCTCTCGTTTGTCCGAGCAAATTACCTTTTGCATAAAAATCTGGTATAGTTTAGAACTAGTGATTGATTTTGACAACAAATTATTGCTCGTCATTATCATCAAGTCTACGTCGTCAATTATATTTCTTTTCTCTTTGCTTTATATTCTTGAAAATGAAACTTAAGCGGGGATGGTCATTGATCTTGCTTATCAAATCTGTATTCATACAGTACCCGGGGGCAACTCCATGGTGGACTTATTGATACTAACAACTAAAATCGCCAATTTGTGAACCGCTTTGGCTCTATAACGTCACGGGTGGAGTCAAACGTAAACTCATTGTAAAACAAAATGATAATAACAGCGTCTGAAATAATGTAATTAGGAACGTTATGGGCAATCTTATATATAAAAAGTGACGTAACTTGAATAGATCCGGTAGCTTTCCCGTTATAGCACCACGTCATACCACCTGTAATCTGCGGTCAGCAGAAAAAATTGGATCTTCCAGGCGTAATTATTTGCCAAATATATTTTTTTCTCAAAATTGACTTCGTTGCAATTGTTTGATTTGAATGCGCGTCAGCGTAAACATATTTGAAGTGTCTTTTAGCGATTCTCTCTTCTAATGGGATTGCTAAAAATAATTCTGTCCCATTGGGCTCTTCAACGTCATTGGTGAAGCCAAACTAAATCTCAGCCCATTCATTCCAATATAGCCCGGGCCGATTTCACAAAACGGCTAAATCCCTTAAATCGGTCCTTTTAGACCCAAGATTATTCCTAGGTCAGTACAAGATAATTCCAAAGTAGTATAATTTAATCAATTTAGTGTTGATTTAAAACATAAAGCAAACGTTTAAAAGCAGACACAATCTGTAAAACTATGCAGTTCCCTTTTTATTTGTAAACATGGACAAAGTTATTGGTCTGAAAGTCCATGCCATTTTTAAGCTTATATTCCGTTTTGGCAAAGTTGTACATTTAATGTAAAAATTTGCGTGGAAAACGGTCGCCTTGTAATGTCAGCATGTATACATGTATTTTAATTAGGCGGAGGTAAAATCACCATATGAAATTTACTTTAGGTTTGGATTTTTACACTGGGGCTGGCAGCTGAAATTCATGTCGGCTAAAAACGTGAATGAGGTTTCTGACACCATGTTACATGTGTGTGGCGGGGCCGGGTACAAGACAGAGCTCGGTAAGATATTACGTTTTCCTTTATTAACACGGTGCGCTTTAACATGAGGTGATGAAATGCCAAAAGCTTTTAAGTTTTTAAAAGAGTCAAACGTTAGGACGGAAGGCTCTGCGTGTAGACCAAACATCAAAAAGTAAAAATATGCTGAGAAAAAGAGATACCAATATGAATTTATCTGTGTTGAGATGCCAATTGTTCACAAGTCTATTATAACCTCTGAAGTAATATATACACAATATTAAAATGATAGAGGATAGAATATATATTTGCAATTATTTATTTATTCCTTTTGCTAATCACTCATTTATAAATTCATCTATTTATTTATTGGGCTACAGGTACCTGGTTTTATAAGTGAAAACATTATCGGCAAAGTCACAGACAAAACGCTTTATAATAGTCCAAGTATTTTTTCATATGCAGCAGTGTGAATCGATATGATTTTATTAAGCTTAAAAATCTAATACTAAAAGTACCTACGATAGTAAGTCACCTGCCACTTTACATAGCTGATGATGTCATAGTTGAGCGTCTACTCGATGGCGGATGGTTTGACGCTGGATAAAATGACGTGAAATAACGAGGCAGATGGCACTCATCTCTGTTTATAGATGTCATGTATACAATACGTTGATTACATTACACATGCATTCGTTTTCAGGTCTGGAGCGTCTTCTCCGAGACGCCAAGGCGGGATGGGTGATGGGTCCGAGTAACGAGGTGACACGTGGGTGGATTGGACAAACCTCTCTTTTGGGGATGGACGCACTGGATTACTGGTAAGTAGACAATTCAATTAGTTTAATCATGCATTGCCTTTGTATCAAAATCTTCTTTTTGGGGAGCTATAGACACCAGATTATTTTACATGAATTTAAAAAGCATAGCAGTGATTGTTTTAAACATCTAAAGAAATAAAAAAGTTTTTTTTTTTTTTGGGTTCAATTTTTAGTAACTTATAATGTAAAATCTGTGATAAGCAATACCTTATATGTGTAATTATGTTATGTTATGTTGAAGTTAGTAGCTGTGTTATATTTAATACAAAAATTTGATGTTATTATGATTTAGGGTCCAACATTCTCATAAACGCGTCCTAAATGCAGAGATTAAAAAACTGAACATTGAGGATAAGAAAGCTCTTTCAGAGCGTCTGCTTCGAGAGATTGCTCTGCAGGAGAGTGGGGGCACCGGTGCAGAACCAAACCAAGACATCAACTTCGACGACCCTTTCTCAGCAAGGTCACCAAAGCACGTGGGCGCCCTGAAAGGAGTCGACGGGAAAACGCACCTGCCGGGGTTAAAAACAGACGCTTTTGTCCCGCTGAAGCTTATTGAACGCGCCAACGAAGTTGACAACATCGTGCGTCTGAAATTCGCCTTCCCTTATGCCGAAATGCATTCTGGGTGCATGCCAGGCCAGTACGTGCAGGCCCGGATTGATGTGAATGGGAAAAGTAATGACCGCTACCTGTCACCTCTGTCTGTACCCTCTGACTACGGCGTGATGGAGTTTGGGATGCGCCTGGAGACTCACGGTTTATTCTCCAAAGCCATTCAAGCGATGAAAATAGGTAAATGATGTAAAACTGTTTTATCAAATGTTGATTACAATCTCATCACAAAAACAGGTTCACCCACATCAAAACTTTTGAGCCCATGGAAAAAATAATGTTCACCAATAAAGCCAATGCTGTTTCAACGTATGCTTTCACTAACATATGATGTTTTTAGTAATGTGTTGGAGTATAAAGGAGGGTCTTTTACATGAATAATTTATTTTGTCTTTACAGGAGACACCATGGAGTGCCACGGTCCATGTGGTGGTTTTGAGTACGAACCCGGGAAACTGGATCAGTTGGTTCTGATTGCGACTGGAGTCAGCGCCACGCCTGCCATACAATTGTTTCGAACCGTTGCAAAGAATAAATCCGACAAAACTCGCGTGTCATTCTTCTACCACGCTAAAACACCAGACCACCTCCTTTGTCGTGACGAGCTTGCAAGTTACACTGAAGACGACGAGCGCTTGACGACCACATTCTTTGTTTCAGAAGCAGATGATAAATGGTCCGGGCTTGAAGGATTGATCGATTCCGATTCGTTGAAACCGTGCTTGCCTGTAGCCAACGGGAAGAAAGTAAAATTCATCATCTGCTCTGGCACTAATGTTGTCATCACAATTCTGGATGTTTTGTACGGCTTGCAGTACAAGAGCGAGGACATCTACATCTATGGGCCATTTGGTGTTGAGTTGCTTCGTTCTGTGTTCGGACGGAAAGCCAAACTGTCCGAAGACCACTGCTAAAACACGCAAGACTTTGCTGTATATGGGCGTCCCGTTTCTTTCTAACACGTTTTGTCAGTCTGGTGATATGGCCCCCAGTGTTTTCTCTGTTGCTGAGGTTGTGTACATATAGCCACCAAGTCTCAGCTCTTTGCCTCTGTATAAACATGTCTACATGGTTCGGGGAGGATGGAGGTGCCACCGATGTTTTAGATATTTGCTTGTGTCATATCTACACCAATAGTGTCCTTAGCCAGAAGTTACGTGCCTATATATACGAAGCATTTTCCTTGATGAAAGAGACATGACAGACACGAAATTATTGAATTTACTGCATGCTTATTTTCTAACTTTTGATTAAAAAACACAACTATACAAAAAGTAAATTAGTAATCAAATATTTTACTCAGGGTGACTTTGTATGCAGGATGAGCATATGCTAACATTTTATTTGTATTAAATCATGTATTTTGGGATATTGACCCATATTTTAGAGGGTTCCCTCGGCCTATATACTTTCCAAACGCACATAACAACATTTTTATGTATTGAATAAAGAGATTGCAGAGGTAAAACTATATGATTTTAAGTCAATCGTATTAAAGTACAATGTGCTTTCGGCATCGGTCAATTATTCCAGCTGTAGGTCCAACATAGCCAGGAGGTGACACCATCTGCATGCAAAAATTTGTATAAAATTCGCGGTTCCGAAACACGTGCTCGAATGTCATTGTTGAAGGCCTGTTTGTGTGTATGTGTGCTAGAGAAATCAGTAGTTCAGTGTTGTATTGTTTACAATCGACATTTTTTAAATATATATGTTAAATAATAATAATAATAAATTAGTCACGCAACGAGGTGGTCGCAGGGTTCCCCCTGGGGATGAAAGGTGCTGTCCAAGTGATCTTGATAGTCTCCCCGGTCGTCTCTCTTGGTCTTCACCACTTTATATCTGTCTCCAATAGGTTTTCGAATTTATGTAACTGTCTGAAGTACTTGCAAAAAAATTGAGACCAATGAAGGGTCGTTACTGTGTCCACACCCCATTCTATTTACCCCATCTATGCAATAACAACAGGTTCGAAGTAAGCTCACTAAAGTGCACTTAATTAAAACCATTTAAAAGGTACGTAACAAGATGCTACATCAAGGCGAGGGACCTGGAAGATTTTACCACATTGATGACACATTTTTGAAAGTGACGTGAGACTTGTGAGACGTAAGACTTGTGTCACGGTATATCCACTTTATATCATTTGTCGGCAACCACGCAGAGTGGCTCCCTGCTACTGATGTCAATGGTATACCAAAAACCTATCCCCAAGTGGTAGCGAATGTGAAAGGTGTGCATGCAAATATATTTTTATGTGACAAAATCAGAGCACGACTAAGACTTACGAATGCTATTAATTTTGTGATCGTAACCCTCGTAAAATGTATTTTAGTCAGAAAGTGAGAAAAAAAAAAACAAAACTCTAGAGCAAAGCAATAGAACTTCTCAAATATCGCCATTTCCGCTCCTAAATTCCCAATTTAAAAACGACCACAAATATTTAGAATAAATGATCATAGGCGCAGCGCTAGCAATTAATTAAAATAAGAAGTCATGTACATGTTTAATGTAGGCAACTTT